GTCTAGAAGGGCGAAACCAATTTTTCAAAGCACTTCTGTGCAGTTTTCAGTGCAGATATTTTGTAATCAGATAGAAAAAGGGTTCCAGAAACTGAATACTTGATTTTAAAAAAATTGATTTTCTAGCCATTTTTTTAAATACGAAAGACATGTTCCCACCTAACGGTACACTTGAAGAAGGCAAAAAGACTTAAATTTTTTTGTTGCTCTTTTTTTTCTAGTAAAGCCCATGCACACATTTTTTGTAGTAAAAGAGAAACACTGAGAATGGAGGGAAGGTACAGCATAACAGCATATTTTGGTGCACCTTTGTTTGGGTGCATTTATTACTTTTTTTTTATTAAGCTGCCCTTTGCTATGAAAGCCTTGTCTCCCTTAAGTAGTTGTTTGCAACACCTGTTTCTTTTGGTTATTTTTTACCATGCCATGTAATAGGTGCCACTGCTAACTTGGATTAAGACATAAAAAAAAAAAAACAAGAGTTCTAGCAAACTGTGCAAGCTGTGTATTAGCAGTAGTTGTGTGTATTTACAGGTATTTATTTCATCACTGAGTAATAATTAATAATTTTGAATTGGTCAAATTGTCAGCCATTGCTTGAATTGCCAAATGTAAATTATAAAGTTATATTCTTGGAATCAAGCATTTATTTTGGGCTGAAATCAGCCTGGTCATAAATACTTGGATTGTGGAATAAGCACACGCTTGCGCGTCGCTATTCAAGCTCTTCCCATCAAACCAGGTTGAATAGAGGGCTGCATTTCACTGCACAGGGCTTCAAAATGTAGAATGGGTTGATAGTCTGCAACCTAATGTAACTGGTGGTGATGCCTATGTCAGTATTTGCTGACGCATCAGTATTGTCTCAAGCGGCACTCAATGTAGCTTTAAAAGAGCACCGACACAAAAATTTTCATCTCGTTCTTCCTGTTGTCACAGTTGTCGTTCTTCCTGTTGTCACCCACTTATCACAGGTGGAAAGCGAAAGCTCATTTGCTTGAGTGTGCAAGCGTTCATTCTTTTGAGATGGTTTTATAGCACTCAAATGTAGGAAGCACTGTATGAGACAGGACCGTCAGTTTCAGAGAGCGCTGAGTGAGGTGGGACCCCAGTGCGAGTGGTTTTCGTGATAGCTGGTGTGTGAGCACATAAAACCACTAGCACATGAGCATCGCATTCACAACTTTTTTCAATAAAGCTTTCCTGGGTGCTACTATAATTCCCTCTTAAGTGTTGTAAATATGCGTGACCGCCCTAGAAATGCACTGTCGAGGCATGAACATCAGCCTTTATACCCCTGTGCAAGTCTGCCCTCTCTTTCCAGAGGTCTGCTAGGAGAGAGCGCTCACAGGCATTGTTGCAGCCAACACAAACTCATTATTCAGAAGGCAGTTTGCTGTTAACGCAAAACCCGACTTGTTTTGCATGCAGTGGTGCAACACGCACTTGAAAACTGATTTTAATTATTTTCTAGGCTATATTATACATTGATATTTCATAGATAATGTGTGTGTGCCCACAAAAATCTATCCAGCAAGTTATCTTTCAAAATGTGTCAGTACAAAATAACTAGAGTCAGTAACACTCAGTGGTCATATAACCCTATCAAAATGCTTTTAAGGAGCCTGATCCTGAACAAGATTTGTATGCATATTTTCAAAAAAGAACATCCCGTGTTATCTACACAATGAGAAAAGCACTCCAATGCATTGTCATAAATGCCCCAACTCTGTTTCCCTGCTTTAAAATCTCACTTCTGTGGTGCCTGTACATTGCAGAATGCCAAAACCAGGGCATTGTTGATGGTGTTGTCACTTTTGTCAAATGCATCACTCCAGTACCAACATCAACCAAGGAAGTTGCCATGTTTGCTTTGATGGTTAGGGCCATAGGCGTAGAGGTGGTGCCAGGATTTCTTTTCTGGGTGGCACCCACGAGAAGGGAGTTCCTTCAAAGGGGCAGGGAAGCTGGGAACGTATGCCTTGTGTTTTCACTATGCTTGCTCTTGGGTAGGGTGCAAAAGGGGGCAAAAGAGGACAGGCAGCATTCTTGAGGGGGCCCCAGCCCCCCCCATACCCCCCACTGGCACTGCCCTTGCATAGAGGCTGAAAGTGGCGCTGCCATTGATACTAGTCGCATGTGTACTCAAAACACAACCATAATCAAAACAGTCCTCTACTATAGTGAAAAGAGCAAGTAGAAAATTTATGCAACTTGTGCCTCTAGTACTGTAACTGAAGCCTCATAGATTTTTTTCTATTCCAACGACTTACCCTTGAGGCATAATATTTTGTGTGTATGTGTGTTTAAATGTGCGCCATTAGACCGGTGTTGTGTATGAAGTTGAATAGTGTCTTATGGAATGTATTGTCTAGTATCCAGCGATCGTGACTGGTTGTGTTGCTGTAGCGAAGACCGCTTTGCAAGAGGTAACGGGAGCATTCAGACTGTAACCCTTGCCATGTCCATATAAGATGGTATGCATCTGCTTGCATCACTGGAGTGGTACAGTACGGACCCATATCACCAACTGGCAAATGCGACCAGTTACACGATAGTATAACAGCTAGTGTAAGGGTCACCTCTGCCCAAAGCCACTTAAGTGCGACTTACTTTGCCCTAATAAGGTGAGGGGAGAGAGAGCAGACACATGGTGACATAAGGGCGCGTGTATCCTGCCGGAGACAGAAAGTTAAGTGGGCAGATGAGATTAGGAAGTTTGCAGGTATAAAGTGGCAGTAGCAAGCACAAGACCGAGTTGACTGGCGGAATGTGAGAAAGGCCTTTGTCCTGCAGAGGGAATAGTCAGGGTGATGATGATGATGATGATGGTCTTGCCGGAGAACATTGTTATGGGCACGGAATGAGTTTAGGGGTTGAGCTGAAAGGAGAATAGATAGAAGGTCTACACTTGGAGGGCAGTGTGCCTGCTGGTCAGCAGCATTATTGTGTGGGTTCGCAGCATGGCCTTGAATCCAGCGTACCCTGACGCAAGTGGCTGTATTGTGGTTCACTGTATAGATGGCCTCCCAGATTTTTATCGCCTTGTAAACTTTCTTGAGCTCCTGTATGGCTTCTAAGATATTAGTGAATATGTCAATTTGCTTAATTGTAGGCAGCTTAGAGATGGCATTCTGGACTGCGTCATGGATGGCTTGAAGTTCCATTACAAGAGAACTGGCTTTCGTAGATAAATAATGCTGGTGACCATTGACAAAATTATGCGAAGTACTCAGGAATGATGTCCTCCTGCCATCTCGTAGGATAGCAGCATCTGTATATACTTTGCAGGTATTAGCGCATGGCTCTTCGATGATAGTGTTCATCGATTATACCTGAAGTATCGCTGCACCGTAACTTTGTTGTCCTATTAGATGTGATGGTGCTTAATTCCCAGGAAGGCATAGAATCAGGCTGGTTGTCAATGTGAAAGATGCGTTGAAAATGAGCATGCAATGCAGCAACAACCAGAATAAGTTGCTTTTTGATTTCATGAACTTTTTCTCTTAGTGAAATTAGCTCTGCAGTTGTGTGTAGATGAACGTGCTCCTGTAAAGCGTATTGTATGGAATTATAAGGTGGCCTGATACCATGGAACTAAGAAAATTGGGCTGTCTGCTGGAAAATAAAGAGTAGTTAGTTAATTTCATATTCTGTAATAGTATAAATAAACATGCATCTGTGCATGCATATATCAGTTTTTCTAAACATGGTGCAACTGATTTATTAGAGACTTAGATATCTGGATTTTAAAATGTGTGACTGTTATTTGCCCCAAAATGTTGAGTTGCTGCTCAAAAGTGAAGTTTTGCCTGCTCCAGAAGTAGCGCTTCAATCAGTGACATTACTGTAGGCCCAAACAACTGATGACAGTTCACACATGCAGCACATGACACACTATGCCTCCACCACAGTGCCCAGGAGTGCCACCTACTTTTCTTATTGTGGATGAATATCCTCACAGTTTAATGGACCTACAACTAACTTTAATGTGACCTGAAATTAAGATGGAAATGAAGATAATGTGTTCTATAGTTATCCAAAGTACTAGAGATGAAAGAAATTGTGTAGCGTATTTACTAAACTGAGCATTATATTATCACTATTGCAACTTGGAGTTAGCATAAGAGGTCATGTAATACCGTGCACAGTGAAATGCTACTGTGAAACATTAACTTTGTACTAGATATGCCTCTAGTGTAGGTTAGATTATGTGCAAGCAAAATAAAAAAATTCGGGGCTGCAATGTCCAAAAGTTTGCACTTGAGGTTGGGAACATATTAGTGTATGTTTCGTTCGAATGGCACAGTGCAGTGCACCTTTTTTTAAAGGTTTCACTATTCTTCGGAAGGGTGTTCATGTTCTAAGTGTCCTGTTTTGTACAGTATTACTGTACATCTGTATGTAACATATTTGGCTCATGCAGTTTTATTTTTTAGAGATTTTACAATAGGGCCTAGTTTTAATGCAAAAGTGTTATTAAAGAAAAGCTTGTTTTTCAAAAATTCTGATGTAATCATCGTTGATGGTGGTGTCTTCGGTTGTGAGCGAATCAGCAGCATCGGCCCTAAATGAAAATTCGAGATAGATGCAAATAAATATAGAAGCCGGAACACATTTGCACTTTGGCCTTTCTTATGATGCAGTATAGGTTTCCACTGAGAAGCAAAGGTAGACTAGCGATTGGAAAGGCCACAATGTGTGTGCACGTGCATCTGTGTGTATGTGAACATGTGCAGATATCACCTTCGCGTTCAACTCTTAAAAGCAAAGCTTAAGGGTCCCTCAATTTTTGGTGGTAACATTCACCCGTAGAACTTTGCTTTGGCAGTGAAAAAAAAAATGCATTTCAGTTGTGTGCTACTTTAAATGATAGAAATATTGTGCTGTTTTTGTATACCCTTGTTTAAAAAAAAATATTGTGTTCTTACTTTTTGAGATGTAGATGATTTTTAGTGTATCCTCTGTACACTGTTCCTTTTTATGTACATGATGTGTAGGTATCAAAAGCCTATTATGGCCAAATCAGGTTGCCCAAGTGAGCCAAAAGGATCACAAGACATGGAGCTTGCTGAGCACACTGCACAAGGAAATGTGGCCAAAATTGCCAGTGTCCAAGGATCACCACTGAGAGACTCAATTTTGCCAGAAGTCTGTATTCAGCAAGAACTTGAAGGATTGTGCACTGATAATGTGCCGCAATTACTTTGAATCCTGCCAAGCAGTCTTTTTCTGTTTTTTTTCCATCCCCTTTCTTCTCTTGCCCATCATGTAAAAAGCAGCACTAGCTGTATTTCATAGAATTTGTACTTACAAAGTGTGCACATTCGTTTTTCCTGGTTTTACTATAGACATGCATCAACATTGCAGTTTGCCGTGTTTTGATACCAAAGCGCCAGTTTCTAAGTATTGATTCTCTCGGAGAAAATGTGCTAGCTGGCAAAGCTGCTCTTGTAATTTACAGGGTATACTAGAAAGTGCAGAATTCTTGTATATCATGCAGGGTTTTTTGATTACACGAGCTTGCCTGCTGTTGTTACATGAGAAACTAAAGATGTCTAATTTTTAGCTATACATACTAATTTTTAGCTATACAGTACTCTCATTAAACAAAATTTGAAGGTACCACAAAAAATATTTCCGTGTAAAAGGAGTTCTGTTTACTCGGAGATCAACAATGATGGAGAATCCGAGTATGGAACCAATTGTGCTGGAGGCAGTGGTTCCATTTAAGCAGCAGTTCCGTTTAACAGATACCTGTTTGTCGGGAGTTTACTGTACTCAGTTACAACCTAAGAAAAATGCCAGCTTAGCTCATAGCCATTGCTGCCCCTCCCTCAGAGAATTCCTGTGAATTCTCAGCGAGAGATTCTTTGTGGGAAATGGCACATTCAATAGTGCTTACTCGTTTCCGTGATATCAGGCACTTCTCTGGAGTTTCAGGTAGTTGACTATAATAGACACACATCTATGTGCTGCTGGTTTCAGATTGAACACGTAGACATCATGGCATACTTTTTCGGGGACTCTTACATCATTGCTCGGCTAAACTTGATATTTTAACTATTAGAGCAATTTCATACCTTCCTACCTGAAATACCTGACCACCTGGCATACCTGACCTTCATACCTGGCAGTATGAAGTCAACACTCATGTTTTTCGGTCCTCTTCTGTGTGCTTTAATTTTCGAGCAGTTTAAAAATGAACCTTAAACTCTGTATATGCGTACTATTCGCATTAGCCAAGAAAAAGTACTAGTTCATGTGGAATATAGTTCACGTGGAAACCAGTGAGCATGACTGTCATTCTAGAATATACATATTCTAGGCACTATACGCAAGTGATGGGCAGGTGCACGCCACAGTTTTGTAGGTGGAGCTGTCATATTTTCTTAAGTTGTAACAGAGGATAGTCAACTTGAAAACTAATCATGTATGACAGTTTGCTTACCTATACTTGGTGCCATATCTTCCTATTGCATGCTGGCTTGACTGTGTGTTGCAAAGTATGTTTAATCTTGAAGTAAGATATATGCGACAAATTTTGACTGTATTTATCCTTAGTAGTGGTTTCATCATAAAAGAGGCTTTACAAATTGGGATTTCAGCTAAAGGTGACCCAGTAAAAAAAATTAAAGTGCTTGTGTTTAGCCATTCCAACATTAAATTCTGTCCCATAACTTGGTACTGTGCAAACTGTGCAGTGTTCTTTCATCAAGTCATCAAAGTAAGTGTGTGATTTTAAAAAAGTGCCTATGGTGGCAGTTTTGTGCAGCAGAAGTGTAGTCCTGTGTCCTCGGTCTTGAAAATATATGTTTTGATGGGGGAGAGTTCTCAAATAGCATTTGGGTCACATTTTTTCTGGGTGCCTTGCGTTACTTTTATTGAAGATGAATGTGCACGGCTCTACTACGTTTATTCTTCACAAGCTCAGTAGTGTAAGATTAAAACAAATGTTTGCTGCTCCAGTCTAATCAGTTTACCAAATTCAAAAAATAGGAACTTGGACTGTTGCATGTTGAGGCTGTTACCTGAGGATTGACGGAATAAATGTCTTTACCATCTCATGGATCTCATGGGCATTCTTGAGCAGCTGATTTTTCTTCAGTAATTGTTAAACGGAGAAAAAATATTTTTTGTACACTTTACAAAAAAGTCTGCAACACGGCTTTCCTACAGGGTTGTTTTCCAACTAAAAACTCTCATTCATCGACTACTTTTCTTACTGTGCTTTTGCCTCTCCCAATTTCAGTGAACGCACGCGAGTACAACAAAAGGTCCATTCGATCCACCCTGCATTTACTGACTGGTACTGGTTCATGGTGGTGTCATCTCGATGTCGTCGTCATGAAGGGGATGTTTCAGCAAGTGCAGTAGAAGTGATATGCGTAAACGAATACAAGAGTGCAGATGTCGTGCTAGCTCAGTGCTGTTGGTCAGCTGTCTAGCGGGTTGTGGACGCTGTGATTCATAAAAAACAATGCCGCTTATGTTCATGGCATGTGCAATAACCAGAAAATGTTCACTGTTGTACCTGTAACATGTCTCTAAAATAGGCACGAATGCTATTGGCTGTGTTGTCTGCTGCAGTTGTAGCCATCTTGTGATGCATGGACCTCACGAGCAGTTGCAGGGAATTCGTTAACTAGCCTTGCATTACAGTTACACCGCAGTGCCGCTGCCACCATGTCGAACTTGTGAAACGAATGCCAAAGTGCAGCGCCTCAGTGAAACCAACCGGTTCACGAAGAGCAGGTGGAACAAATAAACCTAAAAATTTTTTTTTCTTAAAAAAAAACTTTTTTCACTTCGTATCGCATGGTGGACGACATAGCACCTGCTGTTCGTGAGAAACGGGGGGAAAGGCAAAAACACAATGAGCTAGAAATGTAGTCCATGAACGAGAGTTTTTGGTTGGAAAATAACCTCACAGAAAAGCCACCTTGCAGATTTTTGCAATGTGTCCATTTATTGTGATTTATATTGTGTGTACTGATTGCAAACAGTTCTAGCATAATAAAGTCAACAGAGTTGCTTTTTGAGCATATATTATGTGGCTGTGATTCACAGTTCCATATTATTACCTGCTGAATCCCGAATTCTGAGATGTCTTCCTGATTGTACGATCATGACCATGAATCTCTCAATAAACTGCCTCAGCCCAATATCAAGAAAATGTACAGCAAATAAAAAACTGAGTTCTACGACACTTGGAAGCTCGAAAGCTGAGCTCGAAAAGGCTGCTTCACTGGCCACTGCTGTTTCGCCCTTCGGGCTTGCCTTTCACTAGCAACACGCGCACATCCCAACTGCAGTCACTGGTTGGCAGGTCCCCAGTTTTATGACAGAGGGGGCTCGATAACAAGAAGAGAGACTAGAATGAGTCTTTCCTAGACTGCAGGTGCTAAGACCGTATGCTAGACTTTTTTTTTCCACTGACCAATCACCCAAGCAGCGACTTGTGCTAGTGATTTGTTTTCAAGCTTTGCTAAAGTGGCATAGCGCGAGGCAGGACACTGGGCATGTCCATAGGAGTGTTCAGGGTTCTGCATTGGGGGGGGGGGGGGGGGGGGGGGGGACAAGTTTTACCTCAGCCTCTTCGTTGGTAGTCTGGAAGAAAACAAGCTTCGCAGTTCAGTTGCTGAGCATGCTGAGACGTTAGACCACCAGATAAATTTCGAAGCAACGAACCATCCTTAAAAGCGAGACGAACTGAAAGAGAAGGTTACTACTTGAGTCATGGCATATACAGCGAACGACCCAAAATATCAACCGCTCTTTCGGAGCCCTTCCCCTAGTGTATACACATGGACAGCGCTCCACGGCAAAACGAGAGAGGGGTCATTAACCGCCCCGCGAGTGCTTTGAAAATGCCACTGCTATGTTGTCCCAGTTTCCCCTGAGGAAGGAACCCAGTCGGTTCCGAAACATCGAGTTTCTTCAAAAACTTTTGGTTGGAGTTTAAATCATCTCCCAGTTTTCATACCCAACCAGACAGACATCTGTCAAATGTTTACATTCAAGCTCCACAATGGACGCAAAAATCAAAATGAAGCGATGACATGCTTCTCACAAAGGCTTTCCATGCTGATTCCGGTGTAAAGGAGGGATGATGATGATGAGCAAACTTTTAAAGTGGCAGAAAAATCCCCTTCCTCTTTTCAGAGGAGCGGGGACTCAGCCTAGACGATGGCCATAATCCCGTGGAGCTTGTAATTGTGAGTCGGAGCTGAGGAGCGGGGCCTTCCATCCACGCCTGGCTGAGAATTCGTCTCTCATGGGGGCCTCCTGGCATGCCTGTAGCATAGTGGCTCAAGTTCACCCTGTTATTACAATATTTACAGTTGTCCGAATTAAGTTCTAGCGCACAGTGTTTCATCATCACCATACTATATAGGAAACGTAAGTGTCTGATGTATGTGCCACGGCCACCGCCTGTCCTTTGTTCAATGACGAGTGTGCTGGAGGATACATTTTCCTGCTTAGCCTATAAAGCGGCATGATTTTTCTTTAAGTGGTCATCCGTTCAAATCTCTTATAGTCTTTCCAGCTTGGCCAGGGTCTCTGTTTGCGAGTCCTCGAGCTGTCTGGTGTGCAGCCTCATTGCCGGGTAAGGAGAAGTGATTGGTTGCCCAGACTATATCTATTGTTTGCTAGTCTTTGTGTTCAGCCGATATTCTTAGCACTGTTTGTGACATTAGCTCTTGTGCAAAGTTTTTCACAGCCGTGTGCAAATCGTTCACAATTAGTGAAGTCGAGATGAATGCTTTAGCAAATGTAATAGCTGCTTCCTCCGCCTCTTCTGCGAAGCTAGTTCTTACCTAGCCGCCGACCGTATGATTTCTTTTGACCACTGTTGCTATATATGTCATTTACTTTGTCCTTGGCGGTGCCTGCGTAAAATCTTATGTCACATGTATTTTTCGGAAGTAAACAGTTATTTGAATGCAACGCCAAGAGCATGAAAACAGCGACTGTCTTTGTTGGTCTCGTCCCGTGTCTTTCCTTTGCGCTAGCTGTTATCACTCTCATGCCTTGCGGTCACTGAGTATTGAGGGATGCACCCATATTACTCATAAACTGCAGCAGATGTCATACATATCTGAATTTACCACGGACATCCGCCACATCAAAGGAGTCGACAATGATGTCGCCGATGCCTTTTCGTGCAGCCCAGTCAGCGCCGTAACCTCGCCCAATCCAATTAAAAGCCCATCCAGTAATGGTGATGTGTTTTTAAAATTTTCAACACCCTAGGACCACTAAAAAAGATGAATGAAAAATTCAAATGACGGCTGGAAATGGCGAAGTAACTGACATTTCTGACCACAATATTAAATACTCCACTGTGTACACCTAGGATGCATCATTTCATCATGCACACCAGTGATAAGCGATCACGCATTCAGGTATACCTGAGACATCATAAAAACAGCCTAGGAAAATTATACTTTGATTATGTCATTATCTATTATTAAGACCATGCGAATTAATTATCAGAAGCCATACACAACACCCTAACACTGTACTACAGGCCGTTGCACTATAATTGTCCCTACAAAATTAGCACAATAGCCCTTGTTGACGCTTTATACAGCCATATTACTAAAACAAGTCACAACAAGTCACAAGCAGGCACCGAAACCATTTAACCTTTTTTTGCACACATACGCATGCGCACACACACACACACACACACACACACACACACACACACATATATATATATATATATATATATATATATATATATATATATATATATATATATATATATATATAATGACACGGGCATATTACAATAAAGTGAAGTACGCAAAACAAGGAGTAATTGCTGATTAGAGAAAACATCTATTGAAAAAAAAAAAAAAGACCACGGGATCGGTCGACGGGCCCTGCTTGAGCGTGGGTGGAGTTCTCAGTCCAAGAGCCAAGGCCGCCCTTTGCACACTCGCGATAAAATCGAGCTGGTTCCGGTAGTTTACAGCGAGGATTCAGCAGAAACGCACTGAAACATATACATGGAAAGAAAGGTACTCGTAAAGGCTTGTTTTTTTTTGTTAGACACAGTATGAATGAAAACTAACAAAAAATACAATTCCAAGGATATTAGGGGGGGGGGCATCCAATGTGTTATAAATGTACATGTGTCACATCTGAAGGCCAACTGAGAGGGTAAGCACGATTAAGCAGAAGTGATCGTCTACTAGAACCAGAGGTTCTCTTCATATTCTGATGCCAAAGTTGATTTATGTGATGATAGAGCAGAAGGCACACTGATCAAATACTTTGCAATTCCAGTATAGTTTAGAAGAGAATTCCTGTCCTCTCTAGATGAATTAGGTGTGGAGAGAGCTGCAATGATTATTAAGATCTCCAGGACCTACTTTCGACAATTGAAAGAGTAAGACGGGGCATTTCTATTGCCTCTGGTGCAGCTTACACACAGGTGATAAATTTGCAGGATACATTAAATAAAGTTGCTTCACTCTCTAGAAAAAAAAATAAGCGTGGTAACGTCTATATTATGAAGGTGTTTATTTAAATGCAAGTATGATAATTCTTTCAGGAGTATTGTATGGATGTTTTCAGGTAGGGTTGCAAGGATGTTTTGTGCATGGCTTGCAGGACTTCGCGCGGTGATCCTACAAGGTCTTAAAGGGGTACCGACACAAAAACATTGGCCTCGCGTTTTTCTGATGAAATGTGTTGCTGGGAGCCTGTTAGTCATTACACGACACATCGTTTGCTACAGCACGCGACAGATAATTAATTACAGGCCCATCATTATTGACCAATCTCAGCTTCGGTTTGGAAGAGTTCCAAAATACTGGGTGCAACTGTCACCGCCTGGCATGTGCAGCGTTTCATCACATCAGCACACAAAACTGTGACACACTTCCGCTCGGTCCACATCAAGAATTACTTCCGAATAGGAAACGGGACTGTGATGTCGTCAAACACAAAACTTTCTAAGCGTGTGCCACGACCATGCACTCGCAACCAGACGCCGAGAAATATAGACTGTGGGAACAAGCATGGCAAAAGAAAAATGGCAGCTATGACATCATCATAACTTGTTTTATTGACTGTAGCGTGGTGACGTGAGGGAAATAGGGGGTCCCTTAAGGGTCCCCTTTGAGGGTGTCAATGGCACAATGGAGTCGAGGGCTCACGCAAACTACAAAATTCTTTTAAAATACTTTCCCAGCTATATTCGCTGCTGATATTTTGCAGATGATATACGAATGTTTCTGGGAATCGACCCCACAGGTTACCTCGGCTGCAAAATTTTGTGTCATTGCCCCTTTAAATCTGCCTATAAATCGACTTCTTCTCCAAGCAGGACTGGGACGTCAACGACGTGCTGGCTTCCTCAGTCGGATTCTGTCAAGATGCTTTGACTTGCAATGATGTCGAAGGACTCGGCGCTGCGACTTGAGCCATCTCTGATGTTGCAGGTGGTGCGGCATCCCGAGTGATCACGGCCGACGTGGACTCCTGGTTCCTGGCTTGTTTAGAGAGCTCGTTTATTTTACTTTGAATCATAAGCAGCACCTGCTGCTCATGGTTGGCGTTCCTTAACAGTGTGTTCAGCTCCTCTAGAGCAGCTGTCATGTCTTGAAGGGTCAATGATTGGGAATCGAAGGACGCATTTTCTGTGCATGCTATAATACCAGTGGCACTGCATTAACATTAACAATTCTTAACAGTGCATTAACAATTCTTAGTGCAGGACTTGCTCGCTTCATCGCAAGCACTCCACCGTGTGGACTGTGCACTCGTTGTCATAGTGCGGCAGCATTAATTCCATGGCTCCCTCAAAATGCAACCATGCTATTCGTTCCAGCAATGAACTTTCGTTGCAAAAGGAAGTAAAGAAACAAACACAAGCTGTTTAACAAATTTACGTATTCTCTTTGTAGGCTAACGTGAGAGACACCTTAGCAAGTTTTGTAGGGCCCACCATTTAGAACCCCACATATCAATCAATCAAGCTTGTAATATGACAGCGTTAAGAACTCTTTTCACAGAAATTCCGGTGATGGCGTCATTGGTTGTGAACAAAGAATTGGCGTTGTCTGTGAGTGAAAATTTGAGATGCAAATAAATAATAAAACATCTTCAGTTTGAGTGAGAACCAAAGATTTTTGTCTGGTAATCAGCTGTCCTGCCATGAATGTTTTGTGAAAAATAAAAGCTCTACAAGAATGTACTGCATTGCGTAGAGCCTGCTTAACGCATGTAATCTTGCGTGGGAGAATAGTACAATCGCAGTAGGCGTCAAGTTATTTGAAGAGTGCAACGAGTAGGTTTTTCAATGTTTCCCACCCATTATAAAGTGTTCCCAGCTGTGCCGGGGCACATGGCTCTTTACGGGCGTGTAGTGGGTACTTGGTCGATATGCAAAAGGAAGAACTATGGCTTAGTGGGCTCTCTGCAACTGTACCTGCAGTATGCATTCTAGCATAGTTTGAAATGGCATACGTTTCATCACAAACCAATTTGTGCAATCCATCACAAATTGGTTTGAGATCGGGATGCTCTATTCAGCATGCCCATATAGATCTCGAAAGTCGTGTTGAGTTGGCTAGGCATGAAAGAAAATATGTAATGTTAGCCACTCTTGACATCGTAAAAGCATATATATGACAGCGTTGAACTTCAACATAGTTTTAATTAATCAACTTAATTTCCCATAGTATATTCAGGCATGTATTGTGGCATTCTTAAGAAATATAGAACATTCTACTGCTTTTCAAACCGTAGACAGCTTGATTGTATGCATCTGTATTTAAATGTCAGTAAATGCTCCGTACCTTCACATTGAAAGACCATGTTCTCATGTGGCTTAACTATCATCTTTAGCCTGTTCCACAAGTAGAGAACGTAAAACATTTTGGTGTCATATACGACCTATTCATGTCGTGGAAGACTCACAGTGAAAACATCGCACAAAAGAGTGTTCGGGTGGTCGGTCATAGCCATAGCCGGTTAGGTATGAGATGACAAACACTTTTATCAGTATAGTGCTTGTATATTTGCCCAGTGCTAGAATTCAAGTGCATCTAATATTCTGAGGCTCCTGTGTGTAAGCTTCATCCTCTTGTAGTCTTCGAAAGAGAAGCCTTGAGATTATGTTTAAGTCTTCCTAAATTTGCTGCAGTCAAGGTAATGTACCTAGAAGCTAGGCTCCCTTCACTTGTTACCCTGTTTAAATTGTTAACAGTACAGTCATTTCTAAGGCTGTATGAATCCCCCCAACATTAGGTATTCCAAAACAGTCCTTACTGCTCGTCCTGGCTTGTTTTCTGTATGATACTGGTCAAGATTTGATGCACCTAAACTTTTATTTATACAAAGCCTTCTTGGCAAATTAAACATTCCAATTAATCGATTGTTTGTAATCAAAAACATCAACAATACTATTAAAGTACAGTTTGACGATACTTTTCAAGAAGATTCAAAACTTGATTCGTGCTGCTATGTCCCAGGTGATTGCCTGGAACATATGCTAATAAAGATAGTCTAGCTGCGGATGCTTCATAATAAGTGAAGTGTTCCCTTCGCCTTCCAGATTCTGTGCCCTTTTTTGTAGCGGAATTTTTGGTGATCATTCTAGCTCTGCGTAAATTAGCAACATCTATAAGCTCCGTAGTAATTTTGACTGATTCGCTATCGAATCAGTCAAAATTCACATATCGCTATCGCTATTCACATTCACATATCAAATGAACATATTGCTATCGATATGTTCCGCCCTCACTACAAATGAGGACTCGCATGTTTTGAATGCCTTCAAATCATTAGTTTCACAGCACATAAATTTCATCAAATTAGTTCAGGTTCCAGGCCATAAGGACCTATTTATGAATGAAATGACAGATGCGCTACCTATGTCATTTTTGAATGGCCAGGCAATTTGGGTATTGCTAGCATTCAAATTTATTATAGGTGCAGGATTAAGGAGGAAAATAATGTTAGATTAATTTTCTGCACTGTCAATAATGACCACACTAAACTTCCAACACTTCAATCATCAGAGGAACAGTAAAATATGTCAATCATGAGGAGTTCAAGTCGCAATCACAAGACTACGCTGTTAGATTCTCTAATTTTGTGAGCTTCATTGCTAAGCTTCTATTGATTGATTGATATGTGGGGTTTAATGCACCAAAACCACCATATGATTATGAGACACGCCATAGTGGAGGGCTCCGAAAGGTTAGACCACCTGGGGTTCTTTAACGTGCACCCAAACCTGAGCACACGGGCCAACAGCATTCTCGCCTCCATCGAAAAAGCAGCCGCCGCAGCCGGGATTCCATCCTGCGACCTGCGGGTCAGCAGCCGAGTACCTTAGCCCCTAGATCCCCGCGACAGGGCTGCCAAGCTTCTATTGCTTGTGGCTTGTCCGGCGATGGCTGCCGGTGTGTACACCAGTGTTGCCAGTGTACTCTTCTCTGTTGGCCTCTCCGATGATTCTAACAATGCTCACTACATAACACGCCGCCACCTAAGACGTCGATTTTCGATGGCCTGCGCGCTCGCCTCCTCGTGACTAGGTCCACTTCGTTCTCGTCTCTTCGTAGGCACGGCAGCACATGACAAGTTCTTACGATATAAGTGTTACTCGCAGCTACCGATATCATCTCAAGTCCCCTCACCTGCCTGCTCTCAACCCCGTTCAATAACACCTGATAGCTCTACATCTGTCATTTATGAGCGTTAGGCATTTGACTCATAACAGCAGCAGTATGGCATAAAAGGGGCGGGTGGGTAACGTGCCGATCAACGTGGCCAACACTGTGTAGCGCCAGCTGCGGAATGTACCCATCAATGCTGCTTTCGACGTACACATCATGCGCTGGCTCGTTAAGAAGCCTTACTACAGAAATGGTCTCGCCAAGGAGCGCCCCATGCATCTCCGAGCAAGCTCCTCTAACATCATTCATTTTGTGGATAAGGCGGTGACTTTTTTTATTTACACACAGCTGGTCAGGCATC